TACCCTATATACACGCTGTATCCTAACTACATTCCTGGAGTAAGAAGAAACTACTGATAGAAGTAGGGAATGAGGGCCAGGCACGGTGGCTCACGCCTGTAATCCTAGCTCTCTGGGAGGCTGAGGCGGGTGGATTGCTTGAGCTCAGGAGTTCGAAACCAGCCTGAGTAAGAGGGAGACCCCGTCTCTACTAAAAATAGAAAGAAATTAATCGGACAACTAAAAATATATAGAAAAAATTAGCCGGGCATGGTGGCACATGCCTGTAGTCCCAGCTACTCGGGAGGCTGAGGCAGGAGGATCACTTGAGCCCAGAAGTGTGAGGTTGCTGTGAGCTAGGATGACGCCACGGCACTCACTCTAGCCCGGGGAAAATAGTGAGACTCTGTCTCAAAAAAAAAAAAGAAGTAGGAAATGAGATCCTGATAGATAAAGAACTTGATCCAAATCCAGAGGTGCCCATAGAAGAGCTGCACTAAAACTTCTCTGGTGGGGGCTGAGTGACCAGCAGGCAGTGGAAGCATCTCTAGAGACGTCTGCAAGATCACGGAGGAGGGCTCCTGAACGTTGCTCAAGCCATGAGATTCAAATACATAGAGCAGAGGCCATGGATAGGCACTGGGGCAGGCGAGGAAGAAATGCTCCTTTCTAAAATTCTCTCAGAATCTGACTGTGATCCAAAAACCTTTCTGCTTCCTGGGCCTTAACTCATTCCAAAGATTTTTCCCTAATGAAATGACTGTGCTGTTTCCATTCATGAGCCTCTAAGACTGCAAAAATCCATGCAAGCGTCATACGGCAAAAATTTACATACAATTGTAACATTTCTTTTCATATAGGTTCTGTATGCAGTGGGCCACCTCTGACCAGGCCACCCAAGCCATGAATGACTGTCCTTCTTCATAGCTGCATTGATCAGTCTCCAAGGGCAACAGCCACGAAGCAATGTACAGTCACGCGTCACTTAACAACTAGGATACATTCTGAGAAATGCCATGTTAGGCAATTTTGTTGTCATGTGAACCTCGCAGAGTGTACTTACACAAATGTAGATGGACAGCCTACTACACACCTAGGCTATGTGGTCTAGCCTATTGCTCCTGGGCTACAAACCTGTATAGCCTGTAACTGTACTGAATACTGTAGGCAACTGTAACACAATTTTGTTATTAAATTTGTGTATCCAAACGTAGGAAAAGTAACATGTTGTGCTACAACATTACCATGGCTATGACAACACAAGGTGATAGTGACAGAAAATTTTTAGCTCCATCATAATCTTAGAGAACCGTCCATCATTGACTGGAAGTTGATATGTGGCACACGACTGTAATTGGCTCTACAGAGCAACCACTCACGAGGGGACTTATTAATAGTGTAGTTTATTTGATTAAACTGCAGGCATTGCTTTGTTAGTTGCTCTTAGAAAACTATTTAAACTATTTAAGTGCTTGTTTTGGACAAAATTATAGTAAAATTTAGATGGACCCAACACTTGTCCTCTGGAAGCTTCCAGCAAGACACAAAGTCACTGTTACAAAGATGTCAAACTGGTATATCTAACAAAATTAAGAACAGAGAGCTAGGATTGAGAAGACACAGGACAATTCAGGTGGCCCAAAGGAAAGCCCAGACAAGGAAGGCGTTCTCTCCCTGGCCTTCTGCCTTGGACTTTCATTTGGTGGGTGTTGAAGAGACCAAAGACCTAGTTATTAATGGGAGCTGTGGCCACAGCGGAGCTCCTCGTGGCAGGGTAAGCCAAAGGACTGCAGGCTTAACTGCTAACCTCCGCGATCCTTCTCAGGAAGCTGAAAGAAGCAACCGATGCTGCTTAGACTCTGGTACTCAGGCTGGGCCTTTGGGAAGAGTTGCGTTCCGAGGAGTAGATGGCAGCTTGACACAGTGACCAGTTAGAAGCATGGCAGCCACACACCAGGCAACAAGGTGATCCTCCACAGGGCCTGACACAGGACATGCGTCCTCCAGTCCAGACTGTGCTGAGATGCCAGGAAGCCGGCCCTCTCATCCCCCAAACGAGTGAGGTTCAGTGGCCCCCAAAGATATATTCCCTCAACTGGAACTGTCTGGAGGCCCAGGAAAGGGGACTAAGAGGAACAGGAAGGTGGTGTATTCCAGGGTCTTCGTATTCTAGAGAGCCAGGCAGTGGGCTGCAGAGAGGTCAGCACAGGTGTACAGCCAGGGCTGAGCCCTTCTGGAAGGGAGCCAGGTACCAACCTCAGCTTATGGACCTGCCAAAGCACACACCTACGAGTGGGCTCTGGGTGGGGTGGCCTGGCTGCAGGTCCTGCTCCGTGACCTCCCAGCTGGACTCGAGCAATCCGTAACATTCCTCAGCTCAGTTTCTCCCTCTGCTCCATGAAAATCTTACTACCTTCTTTTAAGATGGGTTGAATGTGTTAATATACCTAAAGTACTTAGCCTAGTGCCTGGCACTTAGTAAATGGTGCCAAAGTGAAAATTATTTTAAGTCTAACAAACAAATCCACACAGTATCACAACAGACCAATTAAGCATCTTTCATTGCTGGCATGAAAATTGGGCAAACTCTAAACTCTAGCTTATATTTTGCCCACTGTCTTCCTATAACACCAATGAAAGTGGCAACTCCTTCATTTTTGAAATACTTTTTAAAAATCCCCTTCCTGGACACGCATTCTGTTTTTCTTCCTTTTTTACATTCCTGCTCAGTCATCTTCCCATGAATGTTGGAGGGTTCTGGGGGTCCATCAGACCTGCTTTCCTTCTGAGCCACCCTTGTCCCCTAGGTCAGTGGTCCCCAACCTTTTTGGCACCAGGGATCAGTTTCACGGAAGACAATGTCTCCACGGATGGTGGTGGGAGGGAGCTCAGGCGCTGATGACAGCAATGGGAGCAGCTATAAATACAGATGAAGCTTTGCTCGGTAACCTGCTGTGTGGCCCAACAATTTTTCCACAGATGTGTGTGTGTGTGGAGGGGGGAATGGGACAGGGGGCAGAGCTCCGGCGGTGATGTGCAGCCCGGTTCCTAACAGGCCACAGACCAGTACTGGGCTGAGGTCTGGGGGTTGGGGACCACAGCCCTAGTGGTCTCATTCAGCCCCATGACAATAAACACCATTTATACCTGGTCAGGCAGAATCCATAGCTCTACTTCTGACTTTTCCCCACTCTGGACTCACGATTCCCACTGCCTACAGAACATCTCCACTTGGATCTTGCCAGAGGTTGGGTTTTCCAGAGACAGACACCGAGACAGTTTGGAGCACAAGGTGTTTATTAGGGATCAACGTCTGTGAGAGGAGGAGGCATTCTGGGCAGGGAAGGCAAACTGTGATGCAGGTCTGCAGGAGGCTCAGGCAATCCTGAATAGGGAGCTCTGCAGCTAATAACGCCCACCAGAGGTGTCCTGCATCAAGCCAAAATGGGCTAGCCTTCATGCCATCTTGCCTGGTCACAGCTTTCTGCAAACCAAGACAAACCTGGCAGTTGTAGCTAGGTGCAGCCACCTGCCAAGTGCACTCGCTGCAGCTGGGCAAGTCCCTCCTAAAAAGGGAGCTGGGTGGGGTGTCCCCGAGTCTGCTATAGATTGACTCCCAGCCACCTCAAACTGAACCAGTCCATGACCAAACCCTCGATTTCACCCTGCCCCCAGCCTCCCCTTCCCCTTATTCTTATTTCTCTCTTACCATTTTCCTCAGGCAAAAACCTAGGTCCCAGCCTCTCTTCCTCAAATGCCCCATGGTCAATCCATCTGCAAATCCTTTCAGTGCTCCCTTCAAAATACATCCAGAATCTGATCACTTCTCACCTCCTCCACGCTGCAACCCACACTCAGCCACACCTCAGTACCAACCCCACAGATGGCTGCGATAGCCCAACAGCTTCCTGCCTATTTGTTCCCTCTGCCCATCCTTCCTGGTCTACTTTCTACACGTGTTGCTGTGAAATATTTTTTAGCTTTTAAAAATATAATCAGGTTGCCTCATACCCCTGCTCAAAACCAGTCAGTGGCTTCCATTCAAACTCAGCATTAAACCCAGATTTCTTACCATGACCTATGAGCTCCCCATCCTCCGCTCCCGTGTCTGCAGCGTTACCACCATTGCTGTTCCCCACATGACATTCTACTCCTTCGTCACTCTCTAAACCTGAGCTGTCAAACATAGGAGCCACCAGCCACCATGGCTACCGAGCACTTCCAACCTGTGGCTAGTCCAAATTGAGATGCTGCTAGTATCAAATACACATCGTATTTCAAACTTAGCACAAAAAACAGAATGTAAAATTTCTCAATAATTTTTAAATATTGTTTAGAAGTTAAAATGATAATATATTGACTATATTGGGTTAAATAAATTATTAATTTTTTAAAAATTTTTAAAATGTTCTATTAGAAAAGTTAAAATCACATATGCAGCTTGGCCATGCTACTGTAAACCAGGGACTGGCAAACTATGGACAATGGGCAAACTCTAGCCCAAGTCTATTTCTGTACTGCTGGTGAGTTAGGAATGCTTTGCACATTTTTAAATGGCTGGAAAAAAAAAATCAAAAGAATAATGTGTGACACATGAAAGTTAATGAATTTCAAATTTGTGTCCATAAATAAAGTTTTATTGGAAGACAGGGCTTATAACCATTGCCTCTCCCACTGTATAAGCTCTGCAAAGGCTCATACTTTTTCTCTTTTGTTCAGTGAATTATTGCCGGCACCTAGGACAGTGCCTGGCACATATTAGGTGCTCTATAAATATGTTACTACATTAAAAAAAAATCTAGATTTCAGGGGTTGTGGAGGAAGCACCATATTATTTAAATAAAGAATGTGAATTACTCACTACTACAACTTTCTGTCTCCATTTCTAAGCCAGAAGAGCCTTGGTTAATTAAGATCCCCAAGCAAGGCCACACATACACATAATACGGGGGCCTGGTAGCCCACTGATCCTGGAGACAGACACAGGCGCTGCTGCAATGAGAAGAGAAGCACAGGCTTTAAAAATAAAATACCTTATTTATTAATCCCATGATTATCATTATTATTATTTTTTGCCCCTTTTACAGGGGAGAAGTAAAGCTGTCCCAGTTATCAAAAAATTCAAATCTTCTTTTCTTTGGTGGACTGGCTGTCAGTGTGCTTTCATCCAGGGTGTCCCCCGTGTCCTGGGAACTACTTCCTGGGTCAAAGGACTCTGCTGCCTCAAGGAGCTCCGTATCACTTCTGTCTTCCTCGAAGGACTTCTGGAATAAGTCATAGATCTTCTTCTGCTTTGGGTCCTTCATTAGAGAAAGAAAAGAAAAGATGAAAGGAAGAACTCAGGCTCCATCACTGACTCTCCTCCATGGTGGCTGGCGGGAGACCAGGAAGGTGAGAGATCTCGCACATTTTAACTTATCAGGGAGCTACATGATGGCGAGTGTGGGTCATCTCAGCAAACTATCACTAAAGCAGCCTTACTGCTTTAGTGTCTGACATCTTACCTTCTCTGCAGTTCACTGAGTTAGTAAAAATAAAAGAGGAATGGTTGTGAGAGCAACAACGAAGCTGTCGTATGCTATAATTTATGTTGGAAATGTTTTCTTCCTTTTAACTTTCCAAATCAGTATTTCAATACTGAACTAGCTTCCAAGATCTCACTTCCTCCAAAGCCTTTCTCTACTGAAGGGTCAGTTAAACTGTAATTTGACTCCCAAATCATGTGTTCAGCCACCACTTTTGCCTAACCGTCACCAACTGCAGCTATCCATTGTTGACAATGGTGTAGTGTTAAACCCACGCGCAGAGGTTATAACCACAACACAGGATGGGCTCACTATCGCCCATGCTGATCTCTCCTAGGTCTAAATTCCCAGCCCTGATCATTTTTCAATCCAGAGGTACATTTTCAATTTTCCACTGACATCAGTTTCATAAAACTAAACTTGTTTAAAATCAAACCATTTCTCATTTACTCCTATACCCCAAACCAGCTTCTCTTCCCATAAGCCTAGTTTTGATAGTCTACTACCATTCTTACAGCCTCCCTGCTTGCAATCACCAGGGCACCCTAAGTCCTCAGCTCATGTAAGTTTGTTCCTCCCATCTGTTCCTTTTTCTACGTCTAGGCACCCTCTTTACTAGGGCCACACACTTTGTATCACGTGGATTTGTGGTAGCTCAATTGTACTCCCTGCTGCAGGCTTCCTTCCGTCTCAGTCAGCCACAGGTCTTTGCCAGGCTGATCCCCACAACCCCATTCTTTAACAAGAGTTTCTTTGTCAGGTCACTGGGCTCCCCGGTGTCTACCTCATCAAGTCTAAAGTTGCTTTCCTGGCTTTTCGGGCCTTTATAATTAGGTCTCAACCTAACTGGCCACAGTTTCCTCACTATTCCTTAGCAGAATCCCTCCACAATGGTGAAGTTCCTTGAAAATTGATCAAGTAAGAACTCCAGATTATTCAGTTAACCTACACCCCACATATCCTAGCCTTTCAGGATCCCAGCCTTCTAGAAGTGATGTTAATGATCAAGGCTGACCCCCAAACACTGCATATGTCCTCCTCTAGGACACCCTCATCCTCCTCTTTCTCAACACCTGCAATGTGAAGGAAATGTCACCCTGCAAGGCAGCCTGTTCCGAGCAGACATAGCTGTTAATGTACAGTTGATTATGATGATGGCAACAGTATATGCTGACTCGGAGCATGTATAATTAACTGGAAGTCCCAAGATCAGATTAATATTTCATTTCCCCCTCAGAAGGCTGTCTTAGTGAGATGTAACCTCTCCTGCTTTTGTTTTCTACGTAGGAAGCAACATTTTCATGTTCTAGTAGTTAATAAAATTTTCAGCCCTATCTTTTTTTTTTTTTTTTTTGAGACAGAGTCTCACTTTGTTGCCCTGGCTAGAGTGAGTGCTGTGGCGTCAGCCTAGCTCACAGCAACCTCAAACTTCTGGGCTCAAGCAATCCTCCTGCCTCAGCCTCCCAAGTAGCTGGGACTACAGGCATGCGCCACCATGTCCGGCTAATTTTTTCTATATATTTTTAGCTGTCCAATTAATTTCTTTCTATTTTTGGTAGAGATGGGGTCTCGCTCTTGCCCAGGCTGGTCTCAGACTCCTGAGCTCAAACAATCCGCCCACCTCGGCCTCCCAGAGTGCCAGGATTACAGGCGTGAGCCACCACGCCCGGCCAAAATTTTCAGCCCTATCTTAATAAAAAAAAATTGGTATAGGTATTAATCAAAATATTGACAAATCTCACTTATATTATCTTACACTTCTATTTTAGATAGAAATTTATTAACTAATTCACAGTAACTGAGGGAAAGGCCAGGATGAATAAATGAGTTCAGGTGAAAATCTTTTAAAAATAAGACTCTTTCTTTTCAAAGGTCATATATAGGCTTTGTTAACATATTTACATTCAACTGAATTGGAAAGTTCTTTAAAAAGCTTAAAAATATGGCTGTCTTAAAATTGGCTTATTGTTTCTGTCTAAAAGGATAATTTATCCTCTGTATTTAGAAGTGATCTGAGTCTTATTTATCCCAATAATTGCATTAAAAAGAAAGGATTTATCTGCTAAGTAAATGTAAAATGAACAATCAAATCTCATTGTCAGCTATAAGATTTTGATGATTTAACTCAACTTCCAATGCTCAGCAACTCCACGGGTAGGCACCTCAGTTTCTTGATGAGCTACCACCGGAAGGCTGCCTTTCTGCATGAGGCTCAGACCTCGTTCAAACTGCCCTGTCAGAAACAATTTACCCATGAGCCACACTCTGGGAGGTAGTTGTCGCCTTCCTTGCCAACCACCTGAGCTGGGAAGGAAGACAAGCCTTTGGAAGTCTGCGTTTCACTGATACACAGGAAAGAGAGGCCGTGGATGCGACGGGGCCTGAATGCTGAGGCCAGGGCAGATATGGTGGACCCAGGGCACACGAGCCTTCCTCTCAGCACCTCCGACTAGGCCCGCTTGGTCATGGAGGGATGCTCGCCAGCCTCTTACACTCCTTTGTAAGAGGGGGGGCGATGTCACTCGGGAGGGCTGGGCCAAGTCGGGAAGCCTTCTCCCTTGGGGCTTCACATGCCCTGCAAATCTGTGCAGGTCTTATTGCCCTGCCTGGTCTCAGTTTACCCCTCTATAAAATAGGGAGACACTGAGAATAAAATGAAATGACAGAGGGGAAAATATGCTATCTAAAACCAGTACCCTATTTTAAATACTCCCCCTCTGTGCTGGGGACATGTTCCTGTGGTAGCCCTGCTGTGTGGTGGTTGCTATGCACTTTTCACAACTCAACAGTTGCCACAGGGAGTTTTCTGTCAGTTCCTAATGGCCTGATGGAAGAGGCAGCACTCAGCATCCATGAGGGAATGTCAGAAGCTGTGGGAGTTGGTGCCATCATCTCCCCATGAAGGGAGGCACACGGGGACTGAACTGAGAGCGACTGCAGGCCTGTCGTTTACAGCTCCAGGGCTGAGGGGGGTCCCCAGGAGTGACTCACACCCTCCCACTCAGGACCCAAGGGCTTGGCAGGCAGCTTAATGCCTCCCTCTGCTCCGGGGGCGAGGTGCCATGTGCTGGTTTACCTTGCAGAGGTAATCAGTGGCTTCTGTCATTTCTGAGAAATTGGTCTCAGAAAGCCCGGCTTCACCCAGAACTTTAATCTTCTCTTGAATCAGGGGCCTGTTGGGGAGAAATGAGCTGCAATGAATACAACCTGCACAGAACCAGCAGACTGATGACAATGAGGCCACCCTCCTTGTTCTTATGGGACTGCAACTTGTTTACTGTTTCACATCTTTGTCTCTCTCAAAGCACAAACACCCATCCTGAAATATTTGCCTCCTCCCAACTGTAAAGCGACCTCCAATTTAGGGCTAAGAATATCATCAGGTTCGAACTTTGAATCTGATGATGTTATGAGCTGCCCAATTAACAAATCGACTAAACAAACAGAGGGAAGTAGAGGTGACCCACATATATTGCAAGGGTGAGACTCCTTAGTCATAAGGTAGGAAACAGAGACAAGTAGTGGAAACTCATGAGATAATCAAGAAATTTAATATCAGGAAAGGGGAAATGGGATTGGAAAGGAGCATTCTGGGAATTTTTGCTTAGGTAATTGACAGAAATCCCCAGGGCTGAAAAGTGATCCCAGCTCTGCTGATGAAGCACTGCATGGTCCAGGGTAAGACACTTTCTCCCTGCGGTCCAGCAGCAGCAGTGTGAGGTGTGGCCCACCACACCAATGCACATTATAAAAGGATAAAAGGAGGCTGTCACCTTGTCCTAAAAAGTGCCTTCACAGCTGGGAGCAGAGTATTTTACAAACTAAATTCCATCTTCATGGTACCATAGTCAGTTCCTCACCCTGTCTCAGACCAGTGGAAAAGGAGCCACATCTCCTTATTCCTCCTGCACCCTGCAAGCCACCAGTGAATGCTAGCAAAGGAGGCCAAATGTGGTCATGATGAAAGTGGGAGGGCATTACTGAGTCTTCTATGTGGATCCCTGAAGACCTCAGCAAAAGCAGAAGCACTTAGGGAGCAAAGAAAACACACCATCGGTGTCCGCCCTTGCTCAACTCCAATGCCAGGCCACCCAGCCAAGCCATACCAAAGGTAGTCGTCAGCCGTGCCTCTCGCCACGAGATAGTGAATGCCCACGGAGCTTGTCTGTCCTATGCGGTGCACCCGGTCCTCAGCCTGGATCAGCACCTGCGTGCCAAAGGATCAAAACTGCTTGACAAGGCCTGCAGCAGTTGCAGCCACCACGACGGGCAGACTCTGGCCCCTGGGCCCCACTGCAACCCTCCCTCCTCAAAGCACTGACTGTCTCTTAGACCTACAAATGACCCACTGCCTTAACAAAAGAGAGAATCAAACAAAACTCTGATTGAGGGACTAGAATCTCAGGCAGGAGGTCTGTGGTGGCCTTTTGGTGCTGGGCACTGTGCTGGGCACTGCAAATGCACAGCGAGCCCAGGACCTGCTCCTGGTGTGCAGGGAGGGCCAATGAGGGAAACCTGCACATGCCCCCTTCTCTCTGTGAAGTCAAAACAGTCACCTTCTGAATAAATAAAATTATCACATCCAAGGGAGAGGCAGTGTATGATTAGGGGTAGGGTGGTGTTGTTATATAGTGGTAACCCCTAAAGTCATGAGCATCGTTTCTACTATAGAATGGTCACTGACGCATGGCCAACGATAGCCGTGCTGTATGAGAACACCAGTGGGGAAACAAGTTCTTTCTGCAGCTTAGCAGAAAATTTTATGAGTTCAAACAAATGTCTTCTATGTGCTGTCACTGCCCTCAGTTGGTCAGGCAAGGCCAGCGGGCACAATGGTGATGTTCAGGGAACACCGACTGCTGCCACTCTGTGGGAGGCCCGGTTGGCTAAAGCAGCTCAGGATGGCGGGTACTACACAGGGCACAGGCAGGAAAGCCCAGGGCCTGGGCTGCCACCTGGTGCTCCATGTGCCACTCTTAAGGCATCGCTGTGCAGTCCCGGCTCACGACTTTAGCTCTCTGTGTTTCAATTTCCTCCTATCAGAGATGAAGTCTAAGATTCCTGCTGGCCCTCTAAAGCTTCAATCTTCCCATTAATAAAATGCAGTCGAAAGTCCTACAGGTTGCCGTGAAGACCTAGAAACTAGCCAATAGATGTGCAGTGCTTAAAAGAAGTGAGAACTGACATATGGAAAATATAAATGGAAGAAAATGAAACCATGTGTCTTGGACCAACACTCGCTCCCTCCTGCCCCCATACCCCCAGCTATGAACATGTCCAGGGGAGTCCAAGTCTTTGGTGTCCCTTACCCCTGGGTTCCAAAACAGCTCGGCAAACACCACCAGGTCAGCCGAGGAGAAGGTGAGGCCCATGTTGGCGGCAGTGATGGACAGCACCGCCACGGCGTGTCTCTCGGACAGCTGGAACTGCTGGCACAGGTCTTCCCGGTCCGCGGAGGGGGTGGAGCCATCGATGCGGATGTGCTGCACGTGCTGTGGGAAAAGGGAGGGAACTAAGGTGGGCTTCCGAGCCAGCCGCACCCAGTGCAGAGCCAGGCTGAAGCCCAGCCCACTGCCTTGAGAACCTTCCTTTCTTATTAAATTGAAAGATGTATCGAGATAATTGTATACACTCACATGCCATTATAAAAAATAATACAGAGATCCTTTATACACTCTGCATAGTTTCCCCGATAGTAACGTTTCACAAAACTATAGTTTAATACCTCAACCTGGATATTGACTTTGATACAATCCACTGATCTTCAGCTTTCTCATTTTACTTGTGTGTGCGTGTTCCATGCAATTGTATCACCTGTGCAGATTTTCATGTATTCACCTACAGTCAATTTGCTGAACAGTTCCAACATCACAAGGATCCTTTAGTGGTCCTTTCATAATCACACTCACCTCCTTCCCCTCTCCCCAGGCCTAGGCCCTGGCAGCCACTACTCCGTCCTGCATTTCTAAATTGTTTCAAGTATGCTATGTAAATGTTCTATAAAATCTATAATGTATAACTTTTTGGAATGGGCTTGTTGACGCAGCATCATTCTCTGGAGATCCATCCAAACTGCTGCCTGTATCAGTGGCTCACTGCTTTGTGTTGCTGAGAAACAGCGCATAGTATGGATGCGCCGCAGCTCAACCATCCATCTGCTGAAAGACATCTGGGTTGATCCCAATTTGGGGCTACTACAAATAATGCTGCTATGAACATCTGTGTACAGGTTTCTGTTTGAGCTTAAGTTTTCATTTCTCTGAGGCAAATGCCCAGGAGTCAATTGCTGGGTTGTATGGTAACGTCGTGTTTAGTTTAGCTCTTTTCTTTTAAGGGGATTTATTTATTTTTGCTAATGATAAACATTATAAGAAAAATAAAAATTTTAATAATCGAACCAATCTATTTT